CTCTGTAAAATATCAATAAAATATATTTTAAAAAAAGAAATGCAAATTTATACTTGAAATCTAGATGATCTTATTAACCAATGTCACCCCAATAAATTTAATAAAAAAGAGAATTTAAATAAACACACACAAGAAAAACATGCAAATTTATACATATGATCAAAATATTTAACAATAGGAAAGTGGTTAAATAAATTATGGAATGGAATGGTATATAACCATTAATAATATTGAAAGCTTATCCTTTCTTAAGGTTATAGACATGACCAAAGATATTGATTTTTGGAAAGCTGATTGCTAAAGAGCATACAATTGGTAATGATTGATCCCATGAACCTCAGACATATACTCTAACAACATTAAAAACACAATTTCCCTTCACACTGTTTTCTTATCTCCCACCCTTCTTTTACCACAAATTCCAGACACCTGTATGTTTTATCACTCTTTAGGTTTGTCTTCTGCACCTAACAACCTCACTATAACTATTTCAATGAACAAAACCTATGACATCTCTTCAGTATGTATCTTACAAAAAGATTTAGCCTTAGCCACCTTGACATTATTAATGCTCCTTCCTTAAGCAAAGTAAAATCCCATGGTTTCCTCTTACCTTTCTGTCTACTCTTTCCTCATCTTCTACTTGCATCTTAAGTGATGATATACACTGGGGTTGCCTCTCCTCAACTGTCTTCTCTCATTGCTCCACATTATTTCCATGGGTCTACAACTCACTGCTTGATTTGAACTCTCATTCATCCCAACTAGTATGATAGTGATTAGTAATTCCCAGGCCTCTTTTCAGTCCTAGACTTTATCCCGTGAGAATCAGACTAGGTTTCCAACTGCTTACATTTATCAAGTGGCTATTTAAGATAATATCCCATTTAAGTCCTCTCAGATAAGGGTATAGACAGCTGTTACCAATCTAGAAAACCTGTGGTCATTAATTCCTGTCATCCCCTAGCCTTTCACATCTAATAATTCAATCTCAATTCCATATCTGACTCCATTCATAGAGACTCTATCTTGGAGAAAATCTTCATTTGGAATCTTGGACTATTGTAATAATTTCCTAAATGGTGTCTATATTAGCCTCTTACAACTCAAAGCCTTTCTAGATACCATATTTTGATAACTCTGGAAATAAACCAAATCCTTATCTCTTGTACAAAAGCTTTCTTCATGAGCTCATCAATGGGTAGAGCATCCTGGCTTGATTCACTAGGCCTGTCTTATATGGCTTCTCCTTTTTTTTTTTTTAATATATTTTATTGATTTTTTTACAGAGAGGAAGGGAGAGAGACAGAGAGCCAGAAACATCGATGAGAGAGAAACATCGATCAGCTGCCTACTGCACATCTCCTACTGGGGATGTGCCTCCAACCCAGGTACATGCCCTTGACTGGAATCGAACCCGGGACCCTTCAGTCCGCAGGCCGACGCTCTATCCACTGAGCCAAACCGGTTTCGGCATAGCTTCTCCTTCTTTATTTCTTAGGTGCTCCCCTGTGCATGTGAAGCAGCCATCAATTGAAACACTAACAGTTCCCAAACAAGATCTACTATTTCTTGTCCCCATGCCTTTGTGTTTGACATCTACTTTGATTAGAGTCTTCTTCAATGTTCTCTACCCAAAGAACAACTTTGAGAAGTCTTCTTTGATGGTTTGATGCAAACTCAGAGCCTCCTAGCTTTGTAGCCCCTTAGTACTTGACCAGTATGATGCTTCTCAATTTATGAGGCCTACTGGCTCATCTTTTACCAAAGGATTGCAAGCTAATTCCGCACAGCAAGCAGCCATGTGCCTACTACAGTGAATTCTGTATTCTCACCAAGTATTTGATATATATATATATTTAGTAATGATGGTAGACGGTGAGGTTAGAAACCATGTTGACCACATGGGTTTTATCCAATATTTGCAAGTGAAGAAAGGATAGCATAAAGGGAAGAAAGAATTCATCCCATTTCCTCTGATTCAACCAGACTCAAACATGGACCCTCCTGAAGGAAAATATGGAAACTATATTATCCTTACAGGATCATCTAGTGCAGTGATGGCGAACCTATGACACGCATGTCAGAGGTGACATGAACTCATTTTTTTTGGTTGATTTTTCTTTGTTAAATGGCATTTAAATATATAAAATAAATATCAAAAATATAAATCTTGCCCTCGCCAGTTTGAGTCACTGGATAGAGCATCGGCCTGGGGACTGAAGAGTCCTGTGTTCGATTCTGGTCAAGGGCATGTACCTTGGTTGCAGGCACATCCCCAGTAGGGGGTGTGCAGGAGGCAGCTGATCGATGTTTCTCTCTCATCGATGTTTCTAACTCTCTATCCCTCTCCCTCCTCTGTAAAAAATCAATAAAATATATTTAAAAAATATATAAATCTTTGTTTTACTATGGTTGCAAATATCAAAAAATTTCTATATGTGACACGGCACCAGAGCTAAGTTAGGGTTTTTCAAAATGCTGACACACCAAGCTCAAAAGGTTCTCCATCACTGATCTAGTGCAACCATGCTTGGATGCCTCACTATTGTGAAAGCATCCCTATCAAGCCACCTATACATCTTAAATTCAAAGGCTTTGAACATATTCCAAATGTGGACAACACTATTTTCAAGTCTTTTTAATGAAGATGATTTTTTCTCTCTTCAATTTTTACCCATTTCTCTTTTCCACACTCTGATGCCACACAGAATATATACATTTCTGTTTTCAGAGGAGGCTTTCAAATACAGAGGGCGTTAATGTCCCATTTAAGATAAGTGTTTTCCACACTAAACCTCACCAAGCCCTTTGCTGCTCCTCAAGTAACACGATTTCTAGTTTACTAACTAGTCTGGTTATTTCACTCTAAGCAACATCTGGCTGCCTATGTTGGTCTTAAAATGGGTTGTCTGAGTCAGGTGTGACCAAGGTAAAACAGCAGAAGAGCTCAGCAGCCTCATTCTAGACCAGCCGTGGGCAAACTACGGCCCGCGGGCCGGATCCGGACCGTTTGAAATGAATAAAACTAAAAAAAAAAAAAGACCGTACCCTTTTATGTAATGATGTTTACTTTGAATTTATATTAGTTCACACAAACACTCCATCCATGCTTTTGTTCCGGCCCTCCGGTCCAGTTTAAGAACCCATTGTGGCCCTCGAGTCAAAAAGTTTGCCCACCCCTGTTCTAGACCCTCTACTCTCTCAATGAAGCCTAATGTTGAACTAGCATTTGGAGCCATTCTGTACCACACATTTACCTCAAGCTTATGTTCAATACAACTCATAAGTTTTGTGTTGTAAATTAGTTTTAAATTCTTGCAGCTCTTAAGTCACCCTCTTTTGAGGACTTTGGACTCGAGTTCTAGAATGAATTCAGAGGGTAATAATCTGGAGCTGCTCTTTGAACCATTTCTTTCGTTGACTAAGTCGATGCACTGATCACTTTAGAATGTAAATAGGAGTCATCCTAAATCACACTATAATACATGTATATTATATCATGGCTTATGTAATACTTATAAAGGAAATTCTGAACAAAGTGTGTACAGGAAAGAGAGAGATAAAAATCTGAAGATCTGGAAAGCAAATTCCTTGCTATAGCCCTGAGACTAACCTACTGCAAAGGCAATTCAAAATTTATACGCATGAGAGAATAGCATCTCCTAAGGTGTATTTTAAGAAACATCTGTTACATGAATTTTAAGATATATTAGTGGATAAATGAGAAACATCAGAATAAACAAAAATAAACAAGGTAAGTCTTTTTTAGGTCCTTAAATTTGGAAATGTAAACTGTGACATCTCAGTCCTAATAAAACATCACATTTTCTCAAAAGGTTGTTAAAAATCACAAATCACTGGACTTCACCCTGAAGATTCTGATTTGGCGGGTTCAGAGGGAGGCCCAGGAATGTGTCCTTTGAACAAGTGTCTCGGGTGATGCTGAGGCTACTGCCCACGGAACCACTTCGAAGACCCACTAGGATTAAGTCATGGAGAACCTGCTGGAGACAGTTTTCTAGAGAACATGCTTTCGGGAATCATATGCTAAATTCAAGACTATGTTTGGCTCTCTACAAAATAAAATCACCACAGAAGTCATGTTTTTAACTCTGAATGAATAGAAATTTGGAGTTTTCTTTTTTAACTAAAACGTAGACCATAACCATCCCCCTCCCCCTCCAAATAAGTTGCCTAAATATCCCAAATGTATTTGCTTCTCTAATTCCATGTTCAAAATATATCTTGTGTAAAGAAAGCTTTGGCTATGGCAACATCAACCTTGGAGGCAGAAACAGTGCAGAACAAGTACTCATGGATGTGTTGAATTGATGGCAAAGTCTTGAGGAAAAAGTTTTCCGTTGAGATGCTGAGTTTGGCATGCCACTGCTCTCAGATAAATATCTAACTGCAGGTCCATCCAGTCACCCTCACATTTACCTGCCATGAAATTCATTACCAAAATTAAATTATTATCATTGTTTGTCTCCTTTCACTTAAAATATGCTTTAAGATTTCACCCTGAGAAAGTGTGTAATTTGGGGGAGAGACAGACATTAAGATTTGAAGCACTTATGAATGCAAACTCAAGCAAAAAACAACTGAAATTTGGCAACACATAAAAATGTCACATTGCTTTCACAAAAGTTTGCTCTGTCTAGGACAATATATAGCTCCAAAGACACATACATATATCCACTTACAAATGCAGCACACACACTATCATTCTGAGAACAGCCAGCTACTATACATTGAGCATCAACCAAATAGCGCAATTCATCTCAATTATTACAAATAATACTTGCCCTCCCTTTCTCATTAATATTCTCTCAAGGGATGGCTTTCTAAAAAGAAAAAAAAAAATGGACTCATAAGAATTTCAGAATTCCAACATCCAGCCACATACATAGTTGAAATTTTAAAAAATTAATAAAAGACTAAACATTTGGAATTTTCTTAGTAAAATATAAGCAAGCTTCTTTTTGTCTTAGAGGTACCTGCAAAATGTGACTTCCCAAATGTGCTTCAAATACTTCAATGGCCAGTGCACTGGGGCTTCTCCTTCGTTGTGCACCTATAACTTAGAGAAAAAAAAAAGGAAAGAAAAAAAGAAAAGAAAAGGGGGGAAAAAAGAAACAGAAAGGAAAAAAAGAAAGGAAATAAATAAGTTGGAGCTCAGATTCATACCTTCAACTTAATTTTCTTTAATTACGTCACTAGTTACTATAACAATGACATCTCAGAGAAACACAGCCCAGTGTTAACTTGGCCCCGAGTTGCCTGAGCATAAGCAGAACCAAGGTTGAATTTCCAAGTCAGATAACAACAAACCACACCCAGACTTTTTTTTTTAAAAAAAAAATTACCTTGGACTGTTTTTCCTATATTGAAGCAAAAACATGAATGCTCACATTCCATTAAGATAAATTAGTACTTTTTAGTACCTTTTTTCCTTAAAATTTAGGTATTTTTAAAGTACACACATACTGCCTTCCCCCCCAAATAAACTTAAACTTTTTATATTCTCTAGGCTAGAAAAAAAAAAAAGCAGGATTTTTTTAAATGCTCTAATGCAACAACTTTATCATAATTTAATAAGCGCAACATATTGGAGAAGAGACTCTCATTAATGATTGTTCACACTAGTGTTCAGTGTCTCGGGGTGGCTGGATTTTTCTGTTTACTGCACATTCGCATGTAACTATTCCTACAGAATCTTGGAGAAGCACAGGTGGCCTTGCACTCAGCATGTGTCGTACCAGCACAGGGACTGTGCTCTTATGGGAATACTCCAGTTCTCCACTCACAGGGTCAGTCCTGCTCTTCCTGGCGCACCCCACATGTGTTGCCCACAGGCATCTGCACTCAAAGAGCCCCCTATCCTTAACAAAACTGAGCTTGCTGCCAGGGATCTGTGGGATCCACAATTGAGGGTTTTCTCTATACATAATTTTTTGTATGGTGACACAATTTGACTTTACGTCTGTTCTGGGTATCTTTATCTACACTAATAAAATATAAAGATGCAAATTAACCATACTTTCACAATGCTTATCAGCCAATCAGGAGTGAGTATGCAAATTAACCCAACAAAGATGTCCGGTTAATTTGTATGCACAGGTGCCCAGCTGCTGGGGGCTGGGAGCGTTAAGCACTGCCCCAGTCGCTCTGGGTTTCTGGGCAGCGTGGGAAGGCAGAAAGGTGGCTCCGGCCAGAGCAAAGGCGGTGCCGGCAGCCAGGGGAAGGAAGGCCCATTCTTGCACAAATCTTCATGCATCGGGCGCCTCTAGTCTTTTATAATTTTTCAAGCATAAAAATCTTTGTGGTTTACAGTAATTTATGGAAAAAATTCTGATCTTCTCCTTATTTCCAACAAGTAAATTCCCCATGTCTTCCCTCTTTTCTTGAAAATTTTAGACAAACCTCTGCTCCCTCAAATTTAGACGCTATAAATTGAAAATACAATACCACCCCCACTCCACTTTCTTCTAAACCCACTTCCAGCTAGTTACAAAAAAATTTCAGCAAAATGCTCCTGGGATAATTGTGCTTAGTTTCAGTTACTAAGTCAGTCAGTTGCATCCATAGCTTAGTAGGAATTATAATATAAATGTACTTGTGATTATTGTGCTGTGCAAAAGCAGGCAGTTTACCCCTGCAAGTGTGAGTCAGGGTCTGAAAGACACTTTGAAATCTTCATGAGTGTTTCAGTATCAGTATTACCGGCAAGAAGAAGTAAAAGAGGCATTTTGTTTCAATGGCAAAATTTATAAAATATAATTGAAGAGTGATTATTATCTGAGAATATTCCAGCTGGCAGGGATCTTAAAGATCTCTATTTCGACTTCCTCATTTGCTTCAGGAAAACACACAACTAATCATCTTAAAACAGAAAGATCAAGTTCCTACCCTAAGGTTAATTTTTATTAGTATAGACACAAGCAAGACACAAGATTTTTAAAATTTAAATATTCAGATATACTTAATACATTACTTCTGTGCGTGTGTGTGTGTGTGTGTGTGTGTGTGTGTTTCTGATTAATTTCCTATTCTAACATGCACATTACTCCCTTCAAAACTCCTTTGGCATCTTTGATAATGCAGCTGTCTTGCTGAATACTGTTTTCAGTTTCTAGAGTGTTAATTGCACATTATGGTAGCTTGGTGTGAATGATCCCACATGAATAAAATCTGCAGTCTTTTCTTTTTTTAAAGATTTTGGGGGGAGGGAATAACAGGGAGAGGGGGAAGTTGAAAAACTTCAAAAGTGTCCACTCTGTTTTTGAGGCAGTAATTGGGCTCCAAAAAGCTCCATATTAATAGTTCATAATTTAGGAGCATTTCAGGACTTCCAATTACAAAATTCAAAATAAACCATTGCACCTCGCAAAAGAAAATGGACTGATTTTAGAGACAGACTTTTCTACAAAGAACTGGATTAAGAGGCAGCCAGGAGAGCAACAGTCACAACCTATAGAAGAAGCTAACACATCACAGGCAGCGTAAGGAGTGTGCAAATTTCCTAGCTGCCCAAGAGGCATGTCCCAGTAGTGACAGAGGGCAGCTGCGCTCACTTCCGAAGCACAGCTGACCTCAGTGGTGCTGCAGGGGTTATGCACACCCGCCCACTAATGGCCTTTCTTTACCTTCCTTTTCCCCGCGTAGGACTCAGGCTGTTCTGTAAGTAAATGCTGCAAATGCATAAATATTTAGGTATTTTATTTAAGAAAATGTAGTCAACCTGGGGATCCCAAACGTCTTCCTCAGGTCTTACATCCATGAGTCCTACCTGCATAGTTATTCCTCTTTGTTTTTCAAATCCTCTAGAAATCTGAATGTGCATCCCAGTACAGGCCAGCTTGATACATAGGTATCTTACAAATGGTTTCATGCTGTTCTAGTCAATGGCATTTTTATGGCACTGGAATTTCTCGTGATTTATATGTTTTGCACTTATGCAGGTGATGTGGGGCTGTAATGACAGTTCCTAATTTTACAACCAACATAAATATGTTAAACAGGAGCCCATTATGTCCCTGGTAGAAGACCAGGTCTGACTCCAGCATTATTGGTAACTGACTAGACATTAAAAATGTAATTCTTATCTTGTACTTTTTATCCTAACGCATTTGGCTTTTTGAGATCAAGACAATAATCTGACAACTCAGAAAGGGTGAAAATAAAGCTATTTTGTTTCCCCAAGTTACTATCATCGTGGCTCTATACTACCATTAACGAATAAATAAAACTAAAGAGATATTTTCCTTAGTAGGTCCATCATCCTCAGAAAAGGAACACATGGCCTATGACGCTCTCTCAGGTCCTTGGGTTCTGGAAGTTCACAGTTACTGAAACCATTTGCTAGTCCAAACAGAATGTGCATTTATGCCTGCTGAATAGGTCACTGTTCCCTCTGACCGAATGATACATTTATTTGTTTGTCCAATTAAAAAGACTACTTCTTGAAATGTAAAGGACACTAACTAAATTAACCAAAAAGAATATACACAGGGCATTGCTAAATAAATGGAATATGTAACCACCTGTCTGTGAAGATTATGTCTCTACCTACTCATAGTGAGCTGTGAGAGTTTCAGAAGTTGAACAGCTTATACAAACTATTAAAAGAAAAAACAATCAAACCATAGTCATATAGTAATTCAACTTCAAACTCAATTCAGCATTTACTGAGTACCTGGCTGTTATTTAAAATTGCTAGTTAGTGTTATTTATTATAAAAAAGAAAATAGCCCAAAAGAAAATTTTAAGCCATGTAAAAGAAACCCGGGCCCAGCATATCATTATCAATGAATACCACAATATTATTATTTCATGTTTTGTGATGGGTAAAAAGAAAACACCTAGAGGTTTAGAATATTTTAAATAGAAGAGATATATAAAAGGAAGGATTCTTAAAAATCAACTAAAGAAACGCAGCTGTCTCAGAAATCTCAAATGATCAGATGAATCATTAGGGCAGTGCCTTGGCCTTTCTCCCACAGAAAAAGTGGAAGCCACGGAAGGAAACCACACCTAAACATGTATGTGAGAAATTAGTTTTGTCCCTCAACAATCTTGGCCACAATCTAGACTCTTCTGCATAGTTAGGACTGGACTCTTCTGCATAGCCTTGTGAGGCAGTCTTTGAGAATTAATTCAGGGCAGTGAAAGACAACCCCCCTTTTGGGAAACAGACCCCCCCCCCCAGTCATACTCCTAACCAGTGCTGTCACCTTTGGGGAGGCACAAAAGCCAGGAAGGCTGAGGATTAGCGCTCAGTGGGAGTTTGACCTATTCAGCCAAAAGGTCAGCTTGCCACAGGAAGAACCCATTACAAAACAGAAACAGGACAGCTCAGTGGACACACATAAATAATGAAAGGGGGAAAAGTCAGGAGCCCTGCTTGACTTGAGTCTTGTGCTGCCCTTTTCCTTCAGAGCCCTCCCCACCCCCATTTCCAGAGGGCGGAGCTGCCTCAGCTCCTCACCAACACAGCTCACCAAGGGCAGGGAGAGGGAAGGCGCTGTCATTTAAGGGACCTCTTGAAACAGATATTTAAAAGAGAAGCTGAGCATGACATTGTGAGGATTTCTAATGGATTATTTTATTAGGAAAAGTAGCCATTGGCAGATAGGGAATACTGTTTTAGAGTTTTAGAGACTTTTTATTGTCCAGTCCCCCTCCATGGAGAACAACAACATGTCGGCATAGGCAAAAGTAGCCGTAAAGGTCTGCAGGTAGTACTTCAAGTGTATCCACCAGTAAAGAGGCGAGCTTCAGGCAGGATGGCTACCCTCCGAGTCTGTCAGCTGGGGAAAGGCTCTGTTCCCACAGGAAGCTTGTGGAAGGGGGCATGCTTAACAGAATCGCAGCCATCAGTCCCTGGGTTTCAGCATTGGGCTAAGCAAAGTCAGGGGCTGGGGAGGAGTGGAGAATAGAATGCTTAATGAGTCTTTTCCGAAGAAAAGAAAGGTATTTCAATTAGTCTCCCTCCCTTTGCCTCACTGTTGGGCAAAGGAAGCTGGGGGGCCGGGGCGGGTTCCCCAGGAACCTTAGAAGTTTATGAAGTATGTATAT